AGTAGGCATAGTTGATAAGGCCAGTCGGTTACACTGTGATCTGAAAACAGCAGTGATTTATTAGTTGTTACTAGCTAACCAACTCCTCTTTATTTGATTTGTGTTTTATTAGTTCTAAGTATTATGCAAGCATGTAATGTTCTAACACAGAAACAATATTGTCAACTTCTGCCTTGTCTTCTTCTATGAGAATACAATAGAATAATTTGAATCATGATTACTTTTTTTAAACAAATCCTACAACTGGAATTAAATTTCACACTGCATTTCAACCTTGAAATGAACATAAATCTGAAACTAATACAAAAAGTACGAAAATTTCCATATTCAGGTTAATGTTTAGCAACAGAAAAGAATAACTTTTGTTTATCTCGGAAAACAGCTTTCTTCATCTAAACAAATGACTAGAATAAGATTAAGAAAAACCTGTTTTGGTTTCTCAAATACACACACATATTCCAATTTCCTTTTGCACAATGACTTTTATGCAAATGTGTACCACACAATCTCCTGACCTCTTTTACCATCATACTGGGACAATGACAGTTCAATAATTGAAATGGTACATATCTGGTATATTTGATTTTAAATTGCAAAGTTGGACTCAGGCCTATTGAAATGAAAATACCTGTGACTCTCTGTTAATTCCAAACTGATTAGTTATTATTTCTTACCAGTTTTTTTTTAAAAAGGTAGGTTGAAGCTAATTATTCCATTTTTTATTTCCTTTACACATACATTTCCGAACGTGCCTCCTCCCTTCTCCTCTGTGCATTCTCCTCCCCTCCCCCTACCACATACCTTGATTTTAGTTCTTAACCCGAATTCTTTCATCCATAACATGGATAATGAGAAAACCCCAAAAATGCTCCTTGGGGGAATGTCACACTAAAAGTTACCTAGTACTAAATCCCACGTGTGTTCCTCTGCTCACCATGGAGACAGGCGATGTGTTCACTGCTCTCAGCCAATTTGAAATCCAAATATGAAAACAGCATTATGGAATTCAGACAGCCTCCTTTGCTTCACTGCTAGCAGATGTAGGAAGGTAAAAAGCTAGTATAATTAAGTTTTTGACTTTGAACTAGCAAAGCTGTGAACACCTCACTTAAAATATATAATATTAGGAGGGCGCTGAAGTGCAGGTGCAGTCAGGGTATGTGCATACCCTGCAAGAGGATGGTGCCTAGGCCAATTCCCTGGCTAGAAGTCTTGGCTATACTGAGCCAAGAATAAACTAAACCGTAAATCTGAAATATAGCCAAAGTCTCCCTTGTTCTTCCACAGTTTCAAAGTATAGTGCTAAGTGGTTTTCACTTATATTTTTAGTGGATTCTTTAGAAGATATTTGGGATCATTTAAGAGATAGAACAAATTGCAGTGCATTTTTTTAAAAATGAAGCCTGGACATAAGGTGGGTTTCTTGAATATGTTCCACTATTTATTCATTAATCCATTATTTATCCTACATATATTTATTATATATGTTGTGGGAATATCAGCTGACTAAAATCTGTAAGGAATGTAAAGGCACGAAATTAAAAGAACATAATGAAATCTAATAAATTAGTTAGCTAAAGACCACTGTTTAAACATACATATAGATATTTATAAGACTGACTGTAACTGATTATAGGGGCTAGCTGTGCATTTAGCATTTATTAGCCTCACTTTAAACATACACTCGTACATTAAAAGTAAAGATTACAGTCAACTGCTGTTTTATTTTCTTGTCTCTTTTCTAGACTAAATTTGCTCCGTCTCTATGATTTCTGGAGGAAAAAAAAAAAACTTTAACAGTGCTTAGTATTTCAGAGAATTTGATTTGAAGAAGTAAGATGTTCTTAACAATAACAAACAGTTTTTAAAAAATCCTAAGGAAAATAATGTTGCCCAAAATGAAGACAGCTTTGTTTGTTTTTGCAGTCATCGTTAGCAATAGACATAAAGGTATTCTTTTTTTGAGTCCATATGGAAAGATCATCAACACATTCTGCCTCTGGGTTCTTTTCCAAAATACCATAACCTGCACGCCTTCTCCCTTAAACATAAAAGGAAAGGTGTTGTTCTGGTCAAATAAAGAAATAATTTTTACTAGCATACGTCTAATGTTCAAGCTGCCTAAATCCTGCCAAATACATTAAAACAACATCTGTAAAACAGATTTTCATTAAGTTGATCAGTCTAAAGTTAAGCAGCTAGGCAGATGATGCTTTTAAGCTAACCCGTAACCTTTAACTTTTAACCTCCTTAAGCTAGAATAAGAACACACACTTCTTTTAGGTAATACTGCTTCAGTTTGACAAGCAAGAGGTAAAGTGGTCTATTCAAATCGAAATGACACATCACATTTGGAGTGTTATGAATCAATATGTTGTCAATAACAAGGAATGCTGTTTTCTCACAACTCTGCGTTTGTCTTATAACTGCTACTTGTCACTTTCCCTTACAGCCTAAATAATTCATGATGTGAAATGATGTAAATTAAACTCCTAATGAAAATGAATTTTAGATAGGAGATTACTGTCTAGTCATTAACTCAGAAAGCATTTTAAGCCTAATTTTAATATTTTAGCTATATTATAAACCCCCATTTTTTTTCCCCAGGTCCAGGCCAATTTGTTAGGTTCTCATTTAAAAGCAATTAATGTTACTTATGAACCAATTTTATTTTCCTGACACAAGCCAACCAAGCCTGCTAATATCCTTATTATAGCACTGGAAAATCCTCTACGTCTGACTCACATCGTTTCTGAAATCGGTTTAGAAATGGCATTCTCAACCCGTTGCTACTCTGGAATATTTTTTCTGGTGTCTACTGGGAATAATAAATACTCCTTAAAGAATAATGCAAAAAAAGTGTAGCTGGTCTAACACCAAGTTGCAACAGATCAAATGTTTATCTTTTCGATTCTCTAACTTCAAAGTTTAATGTTTTGTTTGCTGATTACATCGAAATGCTGTACTGAACAAGAATATGTGGGTATTGACGAGATAAAGAGTACATTTTTATATGATTACAAAGATTTTTATGGGAATGGTACACCTTTGGTTGTGGGAACTAAAGCTCTCAATACTTTGAACCCTTCTTTGTAATCAACCTTTTGTCTCTTTTGGTTATAAATTCAAAGACAATATCCAACTCTCCATGAAAAGCAACTTCAAGAGTAACTCTAGCACCTAGCAAACTGCTCTACAGAGAGTGAGTTGGTCATTTCATGCTTGTGAAGTGAATGAATAAACTTAACATCCACACACACTCATAAACATATGCATGTTCAAATAATCATCAACAATTTGATGAAATACCTTTTCTTGAGAAAATAAACAGTAACACTCTACCTTTCTTTAGGTTTCCACTTGAGATTAATAAAATGGAAAAATCTGTACGTTTACATCTTCCATTCACAACATGTTAATTTAAAGTGTTAGAGGAGCTACGTGAATATAAACACAACTTATGAATATTCTATATAGCTCCCAGGGTCTAAATCTATTATTTATACAAACTTTATGTTTGCTTTTTTCTCCTAGGTATTTTAAAAGTTTTAATAGGTCAGGTATCCACAGGAAAAAAAAAAAAGTAGACAATTGAACAATTGTCAACTGTTGCTGCAAAACCTACGAATTATAATACAATTAATCCTTTATATTATATTTTCAATACCCTCAACTTATAAACTTGCCATCTTACATTAGGGCTGGTACCTCCCCTCAAACTGTGTAACCCAAATCTAATGCTTTCATTATTTAATCCACAGAGTGCCAACAGCACAGGAAAAATGTTACAAATGCTCACACTGACTCTTTAGGTATTTTATGCACGGTACATTCGTCTAGAACTTGAACTTTCAGAAACAACCCAAACACCTAGTACTAGACCAACCCAAATAATCATCCATGCACCTAATCTAGATAGCCACAATATCTCTTTGTTGTGTGTTTATCATTTTAAATAGCATCAGAAAAGCCATCGGTGTTATAATCGCTGGTTGACTCCTGATAGTATAGTTATCACTGATTTCTAGTATAAATCAATAGATAACACTTGCAAAATGGATTTTGTAATCATATTTAGAGCTTGTTACAATGACTAATGGTTTGCAATATTTTCTGAATTTTAATATCCTCTAGACAAAAAGAAGTTTTTAATAAGTTACCGAGTTATTCATCATAGAAATGAATGTGTTACACTTGTACACGAACCAAGCCTATCAAGACAATCCAATGAACAAACTGCAGAAAATAAATTAATCAGTAATTAGGGTTTAGAATAAGTCAAGACAAGTTGTGTAATAAACGGTGTTCATCATGTGCGCATATTCATTACATCTGCATGGTTCTCCCCCGTAAAGATAAAAGTATATTTGCCGTTTTATGAGCACATTTTTCTATGCCACACCCATGTGGGGGGTGGGGGACAGAGCCTGAGCAGTACTACTTGGGGAAGCAACTGTGCTCAATAACAACGGAATTTACTTTTGAAGACTTTCAACTGATGTTAAGGGGGGAGGTGTTTGCTCAGTTACTGAAAACACAGAAAAGAATATAATATTTGGATCTTCCCTGTCTGTCACCAGACACGATGCATCCATAAGGGAGGACACTGTTATTATCCTCTGCTCCCTATAACCATTTTCACATAGCCAAGAGTGGGGCTGTGTTTTCAAAAACAGAATATCATACAAAATAGAGAAAAGAAGTTTCAATGGTAATATCTTACAGGTGACGACACTCGGAAAAGTTCTTTTATGGGGAACTCAGTGACACAAGCCATGCCACTGAAATGGGTAGCTGCAGGACGGATGGCAAACGTTTTCAATACATTCTCTCACTCCACAGATTACCACATGCCTGTAGCAATATTAACCAGAAACCGAGTACCTCGTCCTTCTCCCTTCCCTGCTTCTTTTCCGAGCTTGCAGATTTGTGCTCCAAGCCCCGAAACGGTTAATTCCCTCCTCCACTCTGTGCCAACAGAAATGGATGTCACTGCTTACCTTGTAGAGCTTCAGGGCCGCCTCGTGCCTGTGATTGGTGGTATGCAAGCGTAATTTATCCACACTGTTGGTATAGTAGTCACAGGCGTTACATTTGAGGTGCACCGGGTTGCCAATGGCAATACATTTCAACCTCCACTCATTGCTTTTGCCCCCTTCTTTAATGTGAGCCACCAGTTGATATTTCTGCATATGTTTATCAGTCTTGCAGTGGAGCTGAAAGTTGGCTTTGAGCTGAGTGTTGTAGTTACAGAGCTTGCACTGGTAGATATCTCCAATTACAGCCCTCCATTCTTCTTCAGGGAGAGAACGCTCACTGCTCACATGCACACTTAGGGCCTCCAGGCTGTCAGAGGTGAATTTGTTGCAAACAGCACACTGGAATAGCTTCAGCGCTGGGTCACTGATATAAGGTGACAGCTCTCCTGCAGTAAGGAGGGACAGGTCATCACCCATTAGCTGACCACTGGCAAGCCGGATTTCAGGCGGCAGCTCATTATTTACTACAGGAAAAAAAAATTAAAAGGAAAAATAGAGACTAGAAAACACAGCACACACAAAGGAATCTGTAAAATAAAGTCTTGACAAGGAATGTGCTTTCTCTAGAGCTTAAACTATAAAAAGCTGTAATAGGATTGAATCAGGATCAATTACAATCATCCCTTTCAACTTCTAAAATCCCTCATCAGATAGCTTTAATTACTCCTACTGGGCATGATGTCATTCTGAAATTTGTATTTTCCAGGGCAAGAAAGTTGATCAATACCATAACAAAACAGTCACATGCTTTCAATTTAAGAGCTAGATAAACTTACACAAGCACTAATTGTTATTTCCCAATTTGTCCTAAAGCTTTGATGAGATTTGGCTAATACTGTACTCATGCCTGTAATCTACTGCCAAATACCTGGGATAAGGTAACGGTATTATAGTTAGTTTAATTATCGTCAATCGCAGCCATTACAATATTTTTTAAATATTTAATTTAAAATAACGATAAACCTTCTTGAAGCTCATGCTTGATATTTTAGGGAATAATCACCAAGATGGCAAGGCGCATAGGGTACTTTATGCAAATTAACATTCCCTACTCAAGCTATTGACTAAAGGAAAAGTTTGCTAACTTCTATGCGTCCATTGATCCTTTAACTCTTTCCTCTCTGAAGTTAATTTGGCTTTGAAGTAGAGACACAAATGGTTTGATTATCCTGCCTAAAGAGAAAGTCCTTTCTAGTAAACTGTCCCCAATTTGTTAGCACTCACCACTTCATCTGGGTGCATCGCGCCAATTCAAAATGTGATTAGAAACTAACAACAGTGCAGAGAAGCAGTAAATACTAACCGAGTCCTGGTGCCAGAGCGGCCGCTGTCGCTGGATCCAGCTGGAATGGATTGATCATCAGCTGAGGGTCGGCCGGGTTTTCCAGCTTCATTCCGGTCAGGCCTATGTTCTGGGCTAGATAGTACTGATAGAGCTCTGCCTCTGCCGGGGCCAGGCCCAAGTGCAGGTTGTGCTGGATCTGCTTCATGTTCTGCTGCAGAAGCATCATGTTATGCATGTGCTTCTCGCTGGTCATATGAATGCGGAGGTTCCTCGCGACGTTGGTTTCGTAATCACAAACCTCGCAGCGCCAAGTGGGTTTCTGTTTGGGTTTGGACGGAGAGGGTGTTCCGCAGCCACTGAGGCTGGTATTGGGGGCTGGGGCAGAGTGGCCAAACACCTGCTCGCCGTTGCCGTTTTGGAGATTCTGAACATTGTTTAGGTGCTTGTCTGACTGCATATGGATACTGAGGTTGCCTTTGGTAGTGGTAGAGTAGTTACAAACCTCACAACGGAAGGGTTTGTAGCCACACGTGTAACTCTCACCCCGCGCCAGTCTGGGGTGAGGTTGTCCAGTCTTACAATAAACACAAGAGCCACCTGGCTCGGGGTGTTTCTCCTTCATATGGGCCTCCAGGGTCTGCTGATATTTGTAGTGCCAGTTACATTTGGGACATTTGAGGGTTTTGCAGGAGTTCCTTGAGTGCATCATAGTCATATGACCACCAAGAGACCTCGAGGACCCCAGAACCGTGTCGCACTTTGGACACTCGATGCCACTGCCTGGCGAGCCATCTCCTCCGGGCCCCGGTGTGCCAGGCGTGCTCGGAGTGAAGCCATGCTGGTGAGGAGTCGTTGAGCTGTCTTCGTCTCCCCGGGCTGTTTCGCTTGGGTGAGCAGCGGTGGCATTGTCTTTACTGGCACCTGCCTCCGCAAAGTCCTTGCCACCCATGCCGTAGTTACTAGCCACGTTGCCACTGGCCCTAACGGCGGCAGTCTGTTTTTTCTTGTCTGTGTCATCACAAACAGTGGCCGAGGAGGACGAGGTACCCTTTTCAATAAATTTTAGCACACTGGATGATAAAGGAGAAATGCTTTGGTTTAAGAGAGGGAAATCTTTGTTACCAATACTATCGGTGAGTTCACCTAACACTTCCTCGTCATCGAGTTCATTGGAGT